GGTGTGAAGATCTCTTTCCATATCCACTCTCCTAATTTTAGATTTAAAGACCATTTTAGCTTTGTTCAGTAAATCTCCCTGGCAAGCTCTGATCCTATAGCTCACAGAAAGCTTGAGACAGCAGAGAAAAGTCTACTCCGCACCTCTTTTAAGAGCAAGAATACTGCTACCTCTGATCTGTTTACCTAGTTTAAGATTAACCCAGGAAGCACTGAACGTTGAAATTAAAGCGATAGTTCACACAAAAGTCTATTCAACCTCACATAATTTGGAAACCATATAATTATTTTTTCTCGCATGGAACAAAAAAGGGACATTTTGCAGAATAAGCGGCTCTTTTCCACATAACAAAGACATGATTTACAAAGCCAAGCTCCAAGAATAGTCCATACAACTCAAAATGTGCTTCTAAAGTTGGTGAGGAACAGCATTTGTTCTAATGCAAATACAAATTTGTTGCATGATTTTAGATGCCTGTTGTATTATTATAGAATTATGTCATAATTTATTCACCCTCAAGGCGTATTCCAAATCTGTATGACTTTTTTGTAGAAAATTTAATTTAATTTAATTTAATTTAATTTAATTTAATTTAATTTAATTTAATTTAATTTAATTTTGTTTTATTTTATTTTATTCAATGAAAGTCAGTGGGGTCCAATGTTGCTAGAACCACAACGTTCTTCAAAATATCTTCTTTAGTGTTTTGCAGAAGAAAGAAAATCATACAGATTTGGAACGGCATGAGGATGGTAAATAATCATTTTTGGGTGAACTATCACTGTAGGAGGACTCAAAATAACTTTTCGAGAACAAAAGCACCTCCATCTGACATTAACTGTTTTCTGATGCAATATCCCTCCGCATTCTGTACTCTGTCTGATAGGAAAAGCAACGGTTTATAAGTTGATGAAAGAAGGCCTGGCATTTAGCACGGTAAACACATTCATCACCAGAGACAGATAATTATCTCTTTAATTCCACGACCGCGTGAGGCCTATAGCGCTTGTTGTCACAGACGCTGGAGCGCAAATAGAGGAGAATGAGGTTGGTCTTGAAAGAGGCAGCAGTGCTTGTTGCCTTCTGTTTGCTCAAATAACCTTGTTCGCTGGGGTGTCATTGTAGCTCTTTAATATGAGAGGAAGAAAAAATAAATAAGGGGCGGAGCGTGGAAAGAGACGCCGATGAACGAGAGCACGCATGAGAAACGGCAGCCTGTCTTCTTTCCCTTCTCCTTCTCTCTATCTTTCTCTTCATCTGTTGCTCTCTTTCTCATCCACATGTCCTCTTAACTCCTGCATCTTTTTCTCCCCATCCAATGTTTTTATACAAACTACCAGCAATACTCTTTCTCATCTACTTGTCCCCTAACTCCTGCATCTTTTTCTCCCCACCCAATGTTTTTATACAAACTACCAGCAATACTTTAGGCACCATTTCCAGGGACATACTATGATTACATGCTGTCCCTGACAGACAGTGAAAAGGATAATATAACGACAAGTAACAGGGTAAAAGCTTAATTGAACGAAGGTGGTCTTCATCTTCCAAGAGGTTGGTGAAATCATGATTACCCTCAATGGCTTCTTTTCTGTCTAATGAATGTGAAAAGCAGGCCCCATCATGGCCCCTGTAATCATGGTATAATCCTGCTATGAGAAAATACCTGTCTCTCTTTTCCTTCTCTCTTTTTATTCTCTCAGAAGTCAGTGCCAGTACGTGAGCCCTTTCTGCTTGAGCAATTTTTCCAGCATATTCAGAATCCGAGGCTGCTAACAGTATGTGAGAAGCAGTCAGTGTTTCCATAATGCCTTGACAGCACGGAACTGATCGTGACACACTTGACACGCACATGTGAGAGTGACAGATTAGGAAATGCCAAATCTGTATGACTTTCCTTTTTCTTTTTTTTTGCTTTTTTTTGAGATGATATTAAGAAGAAAAATTCAGTTGCCCGTACATTGAAAGTCAATGGCATCCATTGTTGTTTTGGAACTCATTGACTTTAATTATATGTGGGAAAAACAGTTGTAACATTCTTCGAGATCAAGTAAAAACCATAGACACTAGGACTGTCAAAATGGCTAAAAAAATGACCTGTGGGTGAGCAAATTATGTAAATTTCATTTCTGGGTGAACTATCCCTTTAAATCTAAAGTAGTCACACTTATCTGTTTTCTCACCTGGCTCTAGTCTAGAGCATTATTTTTCATCCAAAATGTAATTCATCCATTTTCTAACTATTATTTTCTTCCAGAGTGACATAGTGTGTAAAAGCGAGGGCTCAATTAACTGAATAGCAGTTTTCGGTGTGTCACTGCTGCTGATCAATAAACAAGACATGTCTGTAATGAGCTGGCCACTGTGCAACACTCACAAACCCCATCCAGTGCATGCTGGGATAGCTAAATTTCTTGGGGCAGAATAGAATGGATGAGCGATCATCCCTGCATCAGTCGAGGTGTTTCTTGAGGTACAGCCTTGAGAATGTCCCGGTTAACGTCAAGGCTAAGTTAAGACATGGATTAGATGATTACACCCTCCAGCTTCATTATGGATACCACTGGCATGAAAAGCACTGTTTATTCTGTTCGAAAAACGCCCACTCTTTCACTTAAAGACTTATGCTCTGAGCATCCTGAACAGAGCTTATCTGGGACCAAGCAGATATGTGCCATTGTGTGTGTGTGTGTGTGTGTGTGTGTGTGTGTGTGTGTGTGTGTGTGTGTAAGGCAATGTTTGAGGTCATGCTTAGATCAGTTGGAGCTTTTTTTTATATTATCTCCCGTAAAAAAACGAAACCACCGGTGCAATCAGCCGCATCCATGTATTCTGGTCTGCTTTTCACCCCAGGTTGTGCCACCAGGACTCCAGGATGCAGTCTGTAGAGAGAGAGGTTAAGATTTGGGTCAGTTTTGTTGCTTTAGTTAATCTTATTTTTGATCTCATAAAAGAAATTACTCGTCAAAATGTTTGTGTTTTCTGCACCACTTTGCCACTGCTGAATACATGCAGTCTGATTTTAATGTGATGAGATCAAAATAATGTGCAACGTAATATAATGTCAAGAAAAAAATATCTTTGTGTTGAGTTCTCATGTAGTCTAATTAAAAAACAAATTATTCATGTTAACCAAATCACAAGCTAATAACTTGGTTCTTTTAAAGAATTGATAAAAAAAAAAAAACTAATCATTGTTTTATAGATTGACCATCTTGAATCAGTCTGACAAATGTTTTACTGAATAACATTACTGAATCAATCAGGGGTGATTTCAACGCAGGTTTCGTTGTTACCAACATAGTTAGCTAACAATGTTTTTTGGAAATACACCCCAGGATGATTACTGAATCTGACTCACTTACTGAACAGGAAATTAACATTACTTAAGTGATATAAAATGTTTATGAAACAGGTTTGAGAAATTTGAATGAATATTAATAATTACTGGGTGTTCATAAGACAATGTGCGTCATTGTATGTTTTAATATACATAACAGCAATGTTCTATAGGAAACAATGATTCAAGACAAGAACAATGCATGACGTAAGTTTTAAGAGAAGAAAAATATCAAGAATTAATTCAAATAATCCAGTCATAGTATGGTTGTGACCGCCCTGCTTGAGCTGCGAGAACTGAACACAGTTAAATGAATGGATTTGCTAACGGGTATTTTAGCTCACTCAAAATTATTTCAGTCGACTAAAATTATATGCCATTTCAGTCAACGTAAAATGGACTAAAATTAATGATTATAGCTTGACGAAATATTGACTTAAATTACATTTTCATCGAAAGACAAAAAGTATGACAAACAAAATATGGTGCAAAAAATAACACTGACTCACACACTCATTCTTGCACATTCACAAAACTGCATTCAGTGCTGTGGTTGAAATACACACACTCACACACATCTATTAGTTTTATTCTTTTTCTAAAGAATGCACACTCTCATAGACACACACATCGATCTCACCCACACACATTCATAACAGCATTATCCAGCATCTTTGCGGAAATTCCTAATCTCTAACAATACCCTGCTATATACGCCGATAGCGACTGCTGTATTTATCAACAATATCGAGAGGAAGGAGTTGCTGAACAGATTCATTACACATATTAAAGTAGTAATGATTATTATAAATATCACATCACTTCATGTGAATGAAGCGCCCCATTTTTCTTCATCCATTTCCATAATCCACCAGTATTTAGAACCTATATGATTCAGTGCACTTTTTTCAACCTGTCTGGGTTTGTCTAATTTCTTAGCACGCTGAATATGAGGAACAAAGCTAATGCCTTTAGATAAGGATGATTAACCTAGAATAAAATCTGCATAGTATATTCTTGTATGGTTTATGGCTCTCAGAGTGAGCCCGGTGCCCGGGCACTCACTTTGTAAAGTGACTAATGGCACATGGAAATTTTGCGATTACATCAGAATAGTCTCCAAGATGTCTGTCTACTGCTCTTGCATGTGACCTCACATATTTCTTATCTTTAAGTGCTGTAAAACTGCACGAGACACTGAATTGTCAGGGAAAAGAATGACAATCAGGCCCGTCTGAGAGATGATCCAGCCGCTTTTAGCCTAATGATTCGCAGAGGACTGAGGCTATTGATCATTTTGGCATGAAGCAAATGCACTGGAAATAATGAATGACAGCAGGTGTTCATATTTTTGTAATTGATTGCCCCATAATTGGACAAATTATTGAGCTCTGATGAAATACAAGATTGAGGGTGACGTTTTTGCAGAAAGTGACTGCATCACAGGAAACAAAGAGTTCTTTTTGAATGTGAAGCACAGGTGCGGCACTTCTGGATCGATATAGCCCAGCGTGGTAATTTCTAAGTACCAAAGTCAGTCATGTCGGTGTCTACACACTTTTGAAGTTATTATGTTCACTCTTATCTGGTTAATGGATAATTGCTTTTGTTTTTCCGTCTGGCTTATGCAGTCTTTTTTCTGTCTTCTCTAATCCTACAGATCTCTCTGAGGGTGTCTGGCATCATGGACAGCAAACTGGATCAATGAGCCAGAGTTCCCTCTCATCCTGAGCTGTCAGTTCAGATGGTTCTGCAAACATCTGAGAATATCGTCTTGTCAACAGAACGAGGCTGTTGATCCTACATTAACAAGAAGAGGTTCCCAGTAAGAGATATCTTCAGCCTCGCACTTTTCTGCACACCGTTCTGCCGTTTACAGCCATGATATCAAAATTCTTACGGAATTGTTCATCGTTGGTCCTGCTTTTCCCTCTTCTCCAACTGCTGCGGTTGGACATGCTCAACGCTGCCCCCTCTGGTCCGGAGTCTGACACCTGCTCCACACTGGTCCAGAGCCGCTTCTTTGGATTCTTCCTCTCGTCCTCGGTATTTCCCAGCACGCCCTGCTCCTGGACCCTGCAGAACCCCGACCCAAGGCGCTACACCATCTTCATCAAGGTCACAAAACCAACCAGAGACTGCATTCCCCGACAGCACCGGACCTTCCAGTTTGACTCCTTCTTGGAGACGACACGAACCTTCCTCGGGATGGAGAGCTTCGATGAGGTGGTGAAGTTGTGTGATGCCTCTACCCACGTTGCCTTCCTGGAAGCCGGGAAACAATTCCTGCAGATCCGGAAAGGGCTGCCCAGAGCAGGCGCCGGGCCCAGGAATGGCGATGGGGAATTTAAGGTGGAGTATCTTGTGGTTGGGAAGCGTAACCCCAGCATGGCTGCCTGTCAAATGCTGTGCCAATGGTTGGAGGACTGCCTGACCTACAGTACCTCCAACCGGCCCTGTGGCATCATGCAGACACCATGCCAATGTTGGGACCAGCCCCCACCGGACAAAGAAACCAGTGGATGCTACCGGGACGGAGTCTACTTGGAGAACTGCATCCCTGTTGTGAAAGAAGGAACAGCTGACACTGACACTAGCGGTAAGCTAACAGTTTTTGTCTAGATATAACTCAGCATGGTTATTGAATTAAAAAATGTTGTTCTCTGTTCCCACTGTGGGTTTGGTAGCTTGTCTTATTTAGTAGCAAAGCAACAGAACAATCGAAGCTGAAGAAAAAAGAATTCAGAGAGAACTGATGGAGGTAAAAAAAAAACAAGGTTTTAGGTTTCAGCTGATGTGTCCTAGCTGGGTGACCTTGACTTCTTGGCGCCATGTGTGATCCTGTGAGGGTTCAGATAGGGATATCGGATCGGCCCGTGGGAGAGCTAATGCGGCAGACATGCTCTGGGAGTGGCACGGGATAGCGGTGGTGATGCGCTTGGAGATTGATTATTAGGAAGGGAATGGGGCCGGTTACTGAGTTCAGAGCTATGATGTGATCTCTTCTCCAAGAGTGGTTGTGGCACAGAAACTCAACCCCTAGGAGAGGCTGCAGCCATTGGACTGGAAGATCACTCACCCCATTGCACTGTGTGACCTTTCTGTGGACTTTCTGTTCCTTCTTCTCTTTTATGCATTACTTTTTTCTGCTTGTTAAAAAACACAAAGGGGTGACGGATATCCACAACTCACAGTGTTCAAAACTATCTGTAAAAGAGCACTAAAGGTGTGTAATTAATCATATGTGTGATTGTTATACAGCTGAACCAAGTGATAAGGGTGCCGTTTTCACAGAATATGTTCTTGCCTCCAAAAACAGCTAAAAATGGAGATTAATTTATTATAATAATTTAGCATATTTTGGGTATAATGTACATTTTGCTTACAAATTCTTAAAGAACATGTAAGCAAAAACTGAAATATTATAGAATATATAGAAGGAACCTTCTAACTAGAAATTAGTTCTAATTTTTTAGTTGCCCTGTCAACATTTTCACTAGCCTCACAACAGATTTCTAAAGGATCATGTGACACTGAAGCCTGAAGTAATAGCTCTTGAAAATTCAGTTTTGCCATCACATGAATAAATGACATTTTAAAATACATTTTATTAGAAAAGACTTATATTTAAACTGTAACAATATTTAACAATATTACTATTTTTACTGTGTTCTTCATAAAGTAAATGCAGCTTAGATGAGCATAAGAGACTTGTTTCAAAAAACATTAAATAAACCTTATGGGCCCAATACTTTTGAATGGTAGTGTATATATTTGCTAGAAATACTTTATATATTTATCATTAAATTAGGTGTTCAAATTACACAGTTATAATGTAACTCCATACTTTCATAAATCATACTTTTTAAAATTATCGCATCCAATGGAAAGCATTACTGATTGGTTTATAGTTTTCAACAAAACATTGTAAATTATGCTTCCAAGATCACAAATTATTTTCGCAAATTCAACAAAACATCATCTATGTCAACCAGCTACTGTATATAACATACGTTGCTGATGAATCAGCACAATTTACATTGTAGACAATGTATACATAAAAGAAAACCAAACATTTAAGTTTACAAGGCATAAAAAAATGAACACGATCAATTAATATAAAATGTTCAGCAGCCAGTGGCCCATCCTTAAAGGGATAGTTTACCCAAAAATGAAAATTACCCCATGATTTACTCACCCTCAAGCCATCCTTGGTGTATATGACATTCTTCTTTCAGACGAATACAATCAGAGTTATATTAAAAAACATAAGCTTCCAAGCTTTATAATGGGAGTGGATGGTAGCCCAAAATAAGTCCAAAAATTGAACCAATCCATTACAAAAGAAGTCCACACGGCTCCGGGGGGTTAATAAAGGCCTTCTGAAGCAACGCGATGCGTTTGTGTAAGAAAAATATCCATATTTACAACTTTATAAACCTTAATC